TCTAACACAGTGATGTCATTTTGGTCTTCTTCAAGAAAGACAACAACTAACCAACTCCTACAATGGCTACACTCTCTTCTCTTCCCCATTTTGACCCTTTGGCAAACCAAATGCTATACTGTCTGCTTCTCTAAATGTCCTTCCCTCCTTATTCTTTTACTGATTGTGCCCTGCCAGGCCTCAGCCTACTCAAATGTAGCTGAACAAAGACAAAGAAAATCACAAAGTCACACCACAAATTTATGTTACACAATCTCAAATGGGCCCTTACTGCAGTAAGGTCATCTCTCTTCACTATCCTACTCATCTTTTCTAAACCTTTTCATTTCTCCTTCCACAACCCCCATACTCAGCTGAGAATCTTGCCTCCTATTTCACTGAAAAAAGCAATGTGCTTCAATTCTCATGTCAAACCACTCAGATAGCAGTGTCCCCTATAATTATCTCTTTCTTCACCCAGTCTCACATGAAGGGATGGCCCTTCTTTCCAAATCCACCAACACCAAAGCTTATTCCATTTCAGCTTCTTCACAATGTTGCCATTTCTATTATCCCATTCTCAGTCTCTCCTTGTCTACTGGTTGCTTTTTTACTGCCTATAAATATATCTTTGTCTCCACAATCCTCAAAAAGTACTCCTCTGATCTGTCCATCCCTATTATTTTTCTTCCGATATACCTCTTTTTTTGTCTGGTCCTTTACAAGGCTGCCTACAATCTATGGCTACACCTTTTTTTTCCCTCTTAGGTTCTTTAGTGTGGATTCTACACTGAAAAATGTTCTCTGCCAAGTTACTTAATAGTTAAATTCAATGTTTTCTTCCTCAGACTTCATTCCCCTTGACCTCAATACAGCCTTTAGCACTGTCCTCCACCCTCTCCTCCTTCTCTCTAGGTTTCCTGGTTCTCCTCCTTCCTATCTGACTAGTCACTCCATCTCAAGAGTTATTTATTTTCCCAAATTTTCATACAGATCACATCAACAAATGCTGGCTCGTCCCTTTGTTTCAGTTCTCTTCTTTACTCTTTACACTATTTCACATGGTAATCTCATCAGCTCCCAAGCATTCAGTTACAACCTCTAACCAGTTCTAACTTTTCTCCTAATCCCCAAACTCACACCTTCCACTGCTTATTGGACATTTCTAATTGGATTTGCATAGACATCTTAAGCTCATGTTGTCCAAAACTAATCTCAGTATTTTCACTCCCAACCTTCCTCCACTCTAACTCTTCCTAACTTCCTTGGATTTTCTATGCTGTCATCACTTGCAGGAATATTCCGACATTTTAAATTTCTATGTTATTCCTTCTTCACATTTTCTTGCCTTCTTTGTCTTCACTATCATATGCTGAAATTCATCACCTCTACTTTGGTTTGACTTTCCTCACTTCCCAATCTAACTCTGTATTTAACCAGTTCAGCTTTAAACTGTCTCCTACTTCTCAAAGAATCAATCAACAAGGATTTATTAAGTGACTACTACGTGCCAGGCAACCCTTTCGGATCCCTTGTCTCTGTCCTATTGCCACTGACAGTTTGCTTAACACCAAGTTATGAACCACCTCTAGTACTCACATGCTACTAAATAGAACTAGTGAAAATCATATATATATGATTGAGAAGGTTCACTAAAGAATTTATTAAATCTTAATTGGACTCTCACTAAAGCTGGAATAACCTTTTATTCTTCCCTTAAGGACTATGTCATTCTCCACATAACCAATGACTTCTTCAACTGTCATATTTGATCCTTTTTCTTTTCTCTAAATTTTCAGGACACTGTATTCTTTTTGTTCTAATCAGACAATTTATATTGTAACCCTGGGAAAGTCACTTAACTTTGCTGTACCTTGAGGGTTTTAGACTTAGTGGTCTTTAAGATCTTTCAAAACAATATATCTCTCTGACCAATCACCTTCCTAATTTTCTAATTATTAGGGTTAGGGTTATATTATTATATATTATATTATTCCTCTGAACTCCAGTTATTCACCAATGTTCTCTCCTGACCCTTTTCTCTTCTAGTATATAACTCAGATACCACCTACTGCCATTGGTTTAATCATTATATATGCAAATGGTTTCCAGATCTATACAAACAGCCTTAGACCTCTAATGAGATCAAGTCCCACATCACCAACTATTTGACATTTCAAATGAGATGTTTCACAGTCATTTCTTATTAAATACATTCAAAATAAAATGATTTTCCTCACAAACTAACATCTCTTGCTATATATATGGCAATATTTTTATTTCTTATTCTTCTTTCTGTTACCTGTCTCCCAGTGACTCACTGTCACAACCTCATACAGGCATTCACAAATGTAATCAGATGCCAAATCCTGTCACTTTTACTTCCACATTACCTCCAACATCTAGGTCCCTCTCCTCGCAATACAACTTCAATTCTTATTCAGAAACCTCATTATTTCTCACCTGGACTACTTTTACTTCCTACATGAGGCCTTCTTTGATCCTCTCAAGTGTTAATTCCTCTACTCACCCCAAAATTACTACTAATAAAAGAAAGATGAGGGGGAAAAAGAGCAGCTTTTTTGAAAGGACTTTAAGATTTATAAAGCTCTCTATAAATATTATCTCATTTTATCCTCATAATAATCCTAGGATGTCAATGTTATCCTGACTATAGTCCCAGTTTTTTATTACATAAACTATCTAAATGTCTCTACATGAGGCTTTTGTGATCCCTAGAGGTATTAATATCTCTCACCTCCAAATTTCTGTTATATTTACTTAGTACACACACACATCTGCCTGTGTGTGTATCTATCGATATGTCTGTTTGTTATCTTCCCCTGATATAATATAAGCTTCTTAATGGTAGAGGCTGCTTTTTTCTTAATTAATATTACCAGTACTTTGCACAACCCTGGATGAATAGAAAGCACTTTACAAATATGTGGTGATTTAATTGATGCAAGCAGGCATCCCTCCATTGTATCATTTTAAGGAATTTTATTTTTACCTTTCCTCCTCTTTCTTTCTTTACTTTCTTTTGTCTCTTCTGTGGATTCTCTGTCACTTATATTTAGATTGTGTGTAACCAGCGTGCATCTAAACTTCTTAATTTCCTCAAAGTCTGAATCAGATTTCAAATTGCCTTTTTCACAAATTCCTAAGAATGAAATCAAAAAAGGAATTTATGTGGACACACAAATGGGTTGTGACCTAACATCCCTGGAAGCAGCTTTCAAATAAGTCAGATCACAGATTCATCTGAGTACTGGGTATTTAAGATCTATTCAAACTTCACTTACAACTACTAACCCTTTTTTAACAGAACATTTATAATATTGTGCTTCTTGAGCTAAAGTTTTTTTCATCTTTTTCATGTTGTCAACCCTAACCCTAACCCAACAATTTTGTAAACGGCATCTGTTTGAAAAAAATATTAATTTTACATTTTTCAGAAGCACAATGAGTTAATAAAGCTAAGAAATGAACATATTCATGTGTATCTTTCTGATGCTTCTCACCCTCACTTCTTCTGTTTGTTTCATCTTTCTTTTCAGTAATGTTCTTAGCATCATTTGATTCTTCAGTTTCATCTGAGGAAAAACTGGCTCTGGTTTCTTCTAAGTGCATCTTCTTAGCAATTCTTTAAGATAAAATATTTTCTCTAGTTAAGAACAAACTAATTCTCAAATAAATAACACTATGTAATTATGGATCCAAAATAACCCAAGAAAAATTAAGCAAGGAAAAGAAACAATAAAATAATTATTAAAAGAGTCTATATATTGTGAAGTAAAATGAGAATGAAAATATATTGTGTCAAGAAGTATTTCTTAACCTGCTGCTTTGTACCTGAATGCAAAACAACCAGAAAAAAAGAATTCCCTGCTCTCAAGGAATGCACAGTTTAATAGAGGAGACCACATTCAATCCATTATGCACAAAGAAGCTACAGATAGCATAAACTAAAAATAGTTTCAGAGGAATGACACTAAGATTAGGACCAACAAGAGGGTCCTTGTGGAAAATGAGACTTCAGCTGAAACTTGGAAGAATTTAGACAAGCCAAGACACAGAGATGAAGAGGTAAGGAAAACCTCTTACTGAACGAAATCTTTTAATAACACTTACTCTGATATTACTTATAAGATTACTTTCTATTTATATTGATATTGGTTATATCTTGTATGTATAGTTATTTATGCTTTCTCCTCCATTAGGATGTGAGCTCCCAGAGAGTAGGAATTTTTTTCCTGTCTGGCACATAGTAAATGCTTAATAAAATGCTTGCTGACTGAGTGACTTGGTTTGACTTAACCTATATAAACTACTTCAATAATCTTTCTGCAAAATGAGGTATTATGGCCACTCGTATATGTGAATTTTAAAGAGAAAATTATTACCTCAAAATGCCACTTAATCTACTTTTGATTTGTGGCTCTTCAGTAAGAGACTTAAAATATGAACAATCAAATGTGCATTGAGTAAAACCTTTTCTATTAAAGAAAATCACTGTATTTGTAGATCTATGATAATATAAAAAGCCATGACGCTTAGCATTATAAAGCCCTAAAACATTTTTGAAAGATCAAAAGTTGATAAATTGAATCTAATTCAGTGTCATAATATCTAGTTTTAAAATATATATTTATATAAACATATACAGACACTGTTCTTATTAAATGTGATTAAGCAAAACACTATTGCCTTAACTATAAAACTATTTTTATATATTTATATCGCTCAATAAAAGCCAGAGAAGATTAAAGCCCTCATTACTGATGTTACATCTAATATACAAAATTAAAAAGAAATGCCAACTTTTTGTGCTACTGAATATAAATAATGAATATGCTGTAAATTCTCTTCATAATTTTTGGTTGCTTAAATTTCTAATAAATTTTAGTCTCATTAATGCAGAAAGTTTTCTTTTAACAAATTTTCTGCTATTTTTGGTTTTTCACATGCTATAAGAATAGTTATTACAATTAATTAAAACTTTAGGGATGAAACCATACCTATTTTCAGGATCATCGTCATCTTCTTCCATTAAAACAGGAACAAATACAGTGTTCGTTTCATCTCCTTGAATTAAAAAAAAAGTATATTTCATTCTTCTTAATAACAAATGAAAGTATATATGTTGAATTTAGTTTATGAAAGCTTTAAGGCAACACTTACAGAGAAAATAAATGTTATTTTGCTTTAAAGAAGTGGGGATATGCTCGTTTGTCTGGAGACTTTTTGAGGAAAATAAAAATGTGATCAAAACCCAGGTGCTACTTTATATTTTTGAAAGGTTCAACAGACATTTAATCTTATCAATGGAGCAGTACAATTTTATATGAAACTTACTTTTTATATTTTAATTTCATTTTAGTAAGATGTGTTACTTATATTACAAATATAAAATTGTGTCTGTATACACATATTTGCATACATATATTTAATGCATGTATGCACTCACACACACACATACACGAGTACAGATGACTGATTGGGTGGATGGATGACAACTCCTTTCTAATGTCTGGCCACTGATCTCCAATTCATCATTACCAATTAAATATCAAAGACAGATATTTGAGAGCTCCTGAACTGGTCTCTATATATCTAGTATTGTTCTTGTTCGGTTATTTTCAGTTGCGTGACCCATTTAGGGTTTTATTGGCAAAGATAATGGAGTGGTTTGCCATTTCTTTCTCCAGATTATTTTACATATGAGAAAACTGAAGCAAACTGGGTTAAGTAAGAAAAAACATAGCTATACTGAGCCTAACATTGAAAATCTTACAAAATCTGGGTCCATCATCTTTTCCACTCACTTGAACCAACCACACTGTACCACCAAAGGGAGACACTGAGGCCCAGAAAGGGAAAATTACTTAGATTCATATTATGACATACCTAGAAGAAACCCACTCCCTTTTAAAAATTCCTAGAGAGAACTGGTGGATCAGAGAAGGAAGGAAAGCGAGTGTTTGAGAGACATCAATAGGGTTAGAAAAATTGGATTTTAGAGACAAAGATTTTCAGAACATTTACCCTAATTCTATTCATATGTGCACCAGGACATAAACTTCAATCTTCCAACTCTAAATTCAATGGTCTTTATACTAGCTCTCCTCCCTAAATTTCCATACTTAGGTACCAACTCTCCATTTACTCATATGAAAAATGAGAATGATACATTCTGTAAACAATTTATAATTTCTTTTGATTGTAGGGTTGATAAAAGGAAAATCTTTTGTAAACAAAGGCATCAAGGCAACCTTACACACTAAGATGTTTCCTTATGTTAATAAGGTAGTTTAAAACTATCATAGAAAAGAAAGAAAGATGTCTCTAAGGATTTAAACATTTTTTTTACATACCTGACAACTGAAAATGTTCAGTATTTGATGCATCAGTATTTTCTGTAATAGTCATTTCAGATTTGTCACTATCCAACACAACAGATGAAGAGAATAAAAAATCATTTTCATCCTGTTGTTTCTCAGTATTTTCTGCAATGGAAAACTCAGAAGCTTTACTTTTTTTGTCATCGTTATCTGAATTATAAGTGGAATCTTCTCTTTTTCGTTTTGCTTTATCATCTTTAAGCTCATGATGCTTTGTCTTGTATACAATTTTCTTCTGAATACTGTCATGTTTTAAATTGGTATCAGACCCTGAAGAACTCTCATCCACCTTGGTAGCCTTCTTCCACTTGAATTTTTCTTCAGCATCAGGCAAAAATATTTGTCTGCCTTCTTTTTCCCACTGTTCTGATGACTTTGCTTTACATTGTTCATCACTTTTTTCTGAATTAGATGTAACAAGCTCCTTTTCTATGTGTCCAACTGAAGGTGTTTTCACAAGGGGTGATCTTTGAAGGTCAGTTTCTTCATTAAATAATGTACTGTCATTATCAGGGATGACATCAGTATTTCCTGTAATACTGGTCTCCTTTTGATATTCCTCTTCTGTTTTCTCTTGACTAACAGGATCTTTCAGTGAGGAATCTGATATGGAAATAGGAGAAAGCTTAATATATAATTTCTTCATTAATGTCTTTACCGTAGATCTTCCTTTGCCAACTTTTGAAGATTCATTTATTTCTGAAGAGAGATTTTCTGTGTCCTTATATGTTTCAGTATTTTCATCATTCTGGATATTGACAGAAGTTTCTAGATTGTCAGAAATATTTTTAGGCTTTGAAGAAGGAATGGCTAGAATGTCCCTATCTAAAGATTTAGAAGTACATGGAGGTTCATATTGAAATTCTTCATTTGTATTCTTAACTTCACCAGTTGCTGCTGTTGGAACTATAATGTCTGTATCAGTTTTGTCATTTGGAAACCTTTTTGTCTTTGTAGGAAATTTATCTTCCACTTCACATTTTTCATCTACATTTTTAATCTTGCCATGTTTTTTAACATTCTCATGTTTTCCTTCTTTGATATTTTCTTCCTTGTCTCTAACAACCAAATTGCTTATCTCCTTGTTCAAGTATTCTTCTAATGCCTTATGAGCCTTATTTATGTCACTCATCACAAATCTAATAGCTTTCAATTGATTTAACTTAGTACTTGAGCTCATTTCTGAATTACTACCTATTTGTTCCAAAAACGTCACAAAACTGGAGTTTATATCTGCAGTGTTCTCAAGCAGTGTTTTGGTCTTTTTAATCAAATATTTTGGGACCATTAATGATGAAAAAGAACACGTTACAGCATCAGAATGAGAATCATCTAACTGAGGTTTTTCTTCTTTTTTGGTGGTGGAGTGAAATTTAGGTGGACGGTTACATGTCTTACCACTCTTTTCACTTGCAGACTTTGGCTTCTTTTTATTCTGTTGCCTCAAAAGTGATAAATTCTCAAATACACTGTCACAGACGGCAATCAAATCTAACAAAGGTTCAGGGTGGCAAATATAGCACTGCCACTGACTGTTTTCATCCATTACTTTTGATAGCTCTTTTTGCCCAAGATTGTGCCAAATGCATTTTTTGCAGAAAGCATTATGGCAAGAGTCACAACATATTAGGCTTCCACCTTCTGCACACCATCTGAAATGTAAAAAACAAAACAACACAAAAAAAATTAAGGCATCATTCTTCATCAAACAACTATTTAAAGACTTAAAAAATAAAAATTAAGCAGGAATGAAAATCTACTAATTAAAAAAACTGATATAAATGAACATATCTGCTTTAAAATTATAAAAAAAAAGGGCCATGAAAAGACAGAATAAAAATAATTGGAAACTAAATAATCTAATCCTAAAAAATGAATGGGTCAAACAACATATCATAGGAACAATCAATTACTTCATCCAAGAGAATGACAATAATGAGACAATATACCAAAACTTTTGGTATGCAGTGAAAGTGGTTCTTAGGGGAAATGTTATATCTCTAAATGCTTACAGAAAGAAGAAATCAATGAATTGGTCATGCAGCTGAAAATTTACAGGTCCCTAGAAGTATCTCTGCACAAAACCCCCGAAGCTTGGGACAGTACATTCTCCCCACCTTAACAAAGAGTTTAAAACTCAAGTAACTGGCTGGGATCATGAGCAAACTGCATTAAAAAAAGTCAGACCATAAAATCTTTGGTGACAAGGATGATCAGAACACACAACCCGAAGAAGACAACAAAGTCAAAGCTCCTACATCCAAAGTCTCCAGGAAAAACATCAATTGGTCCCAGGCCATGGAAGAGCTCAAAAAGGATTTTGAGAAGCAAGTAAGAGAAATGGAGGAAAAACTGAGAAGAGAAATGACAGTAATGAAAGAAAATCATGAAAAAACAAGTCAACAGCTTGCTAAAGGAGATCCAAAAAAATACTGAAGAAAGTAACACCTTAAAAAATAGCCTAACCCAAATGGTAAAAGAGGTCCAAAAAGTTAGTGAGGAGAAGAATGCCTTAAAAAGCAGAATTGGTCAAATGGAAAAGGAAATCCAAAAGCTCATTGAAGAAAATACTTCCTTAAAAATTAGAATGGTGCAACTGGAAGTTAATGACTTTATGAGAAATCAAGACATTGTAAACAAAACCAAAAATAAAAAACAGTGTTTCCTCATTGGCTGAATATTCTAGAATGTACACCTTTCTGGCACAACTATTACACATCTACTCCTTGACACGTACCTCTTCCTTCTACAAACATCACATGTTCAGAAAATGACGTCTTAAACCCATCCAGAGGTAGAGAAATTAGTATCGATGAGCCTATTAAGCATGTGCACTCCAAGTAAAGCTTAACCTTTATCCTACTTAATGACTTCTGCCAGCAAAGACTGTCTGTATCCAGTTTTACTTGGTTACTTTTCTAGTGGTTGTTTCAATTTTATGGAAACAAACATTTTCCTTCTATCTCTCACTAGGAAAAAATCTCCATGGCCAGATGGATTTACAAGGGAATTCTATTAAACATTTAAAGTACATTTAATTCCAAAACTATAAAGATAATAGTCTGTATAGTATACTCTGGGAAAATTAGTGAATAAGGAGTCCTACCAAATTCTTTTCATGATACAAATATGGTGCTGGTATCTAAACTGGGAAGAGCCAAAACAGAGAAAGAAAATTACAGACTAATCTCCCTAACGAATACAGAAGCAAAAATTTTGAATAAAATATTAGCAAAGAGATTACAACAATTTATGTCAAGGGTAATACACTATGACCAGATAGGATTTATACCAGGAATGCAGGGCTGGTTCAATATTAGGAAAACTAATCAGCACAACTGACTATATCAACAAAACTAACAGAAATCATATGATTGTCTCAATAAATACAGAAAAAGCTTTTGATAAAATACAACACCCATTCCTATTAAAAACACTAAAGAGCATAGGAATAAATGGAGTCTTCCTTAAAAGGATAGTATGTAGCACCTATCAAAAACCATCAGCAAGCATTATATGTAAAGGGGATAAGCTAGAAACATTTTGTAATAATAAAGAAGTGGTACCAAAATAAAGACCCATAACTAGGGAACAGCTGACCAAATGTGTAACATAGCTGTAGTTAAAAGTTACTATGTAGTAAGTACAGACAGGAATGAAGAATTCATTTTAACTAAAAAAACTGATTCAAAGAAAATTCAAAACATTTGCAAAGAAAAATTTGTATAAGTCGATAAAAGGAAAACAAACAGCAACCAGAGAACAATACAAAACATTTCTATAATAACACAATTGAAAAGAACAAAATTAAATCCAACATTTATTAGTAGCATAGTTGATAGAGTGCTAGAAGACTTCAGAAGAAATCCTTTCTCAAGTAACAACCATTTTCAGAATTAATTTCTTTATGAGCACAATAGGTATTATAATAACAACACGAGCTTCACAAGGTTGTTGTGCATCAAACAAGAATAAATATGTAAAGCACTTCGGAAATCTCAGCGAGCTATAAAATACTATTATTAAAGATACTTTTATTATTACAGCAAATACTAATCCTTAAAAAAGTATAATTTGAAATAACCTCCTCTCACCAGAAACAGAGACAATCAAGGGCAGAATAACTGTCAAACATGCACAGTCCTAGGTTTGGGTTTTTGGTGTTTCCTTTTTTTTTAAATTAAACATTTTTCCTTGTTGAAAACAACTTAAATTCTGTCGGTTAAAGGAATACCATAACCAGACAAAATAACCAATTTATTGACCAATTTTTATGATTTATGATTTTTTGAAAGTTTGATATTTACTGCACCCAAGTTCGTAAAACAGATAGCACCTAAACTTTTGAAACAAAGCACTGTAGAATTCATATAAATAAAAGAATATCTTAAAATGTAAGAAGAGATCTGTCGTTTACTCAACTACTACAGAACAAAAGGAATAATAGTTTACAGATAAAATCATTATCCAATTCATAACTACATACCTTACAAATAAGAACATTCAGTGCAGGATGTCTATATATTGAATCCTTCTGAAAATGATTCACCTATTGTCCACAAGCAGTGCAGCTCACAATTCTAGGTAGTCTTTCTCCTAAACAAATCAATATAAACATAGTCTATTAAGAAATAAAATTTTAAATTATATAAAACACTTTAAACTGTATTTTTATAACTCAATGTATTTTAAGCAATGAGCTATTTGCTTAATCAGTAGGAATTCTAATTACAAAGATACATGTATTCACGTTATTCTACTGCTGAATACTTACAGAAAATTATGGACAAGTTTAACAAATTTTAACAGACTAACAAGATGTAGAACTAGAAAGGATCTCATCTTTCTCAAATTCTATCACCCAACTTCTGCTTAAAGTTATCCAGTGACAGGGAAACTCACTACCTCCCAAGGCATATTTGGATAACTGTAATTTCCTACCTCAAACTTTTTAAGAACTTCCACCTGATTTTTCTGGAACGGTACCTACCATGATGGCAATCAAAACAAGATTAATCATTAATTAATTGCAGGAAAACAAAGCAACTCTTTGGGTATCCCTTTTCTCCTGGGATAGCCTTTCAAAGACCTGAACATATCTTTTATATTTTAAAATTACTATGGTAAAAAGACAAATATTAAATAGTATTTCCTTAAACAGATTGTATTCAGTAAGTTCAACTGAGAAGAAATACATATATATTTTGTATACAGAATATAGAGAGAATATTTATATGCTATATATGTTATATATGTATTATTTGAATATACACTTGTATATAGAATATATAAATATAATACAGACTGAGGGAGAGAGACAGACAGACAGAGAGAGAGAGACATAGATAGACAGAGAGAAAGCGAAAGAGAGAAAGGGAAAATGAGAATACACCAGGCCTGAAGTCAGGAAAACTCATTTTCCTGAGTTCAAATCCAGCCTCAGATACTTACTAGCTATGCGACCCTGGGCAAGTCATTTTAACCCTGTTTTTCTCAACTTCCACGTCTATAAAAAGATCTAGAAAAGGGAATACTAAACCATTCCAGTATCTTTGCCAAGAAAAATTCTAAACAGGGTCACAAAGAGTCTGATAAAATGAAGCAAAAAAATTGAAGAAGGAAGAGAGTGTGTGGAGCAACAATCACAACAACAGAACAGAAACAAAAGAACTATTTAATGTGAGAAATAAAAGGAAGGGAAAATAAGTATAGTTAGATCGAAAATACTTTGAGAACAAACTGCAAGGTTTTAAAAGTCAAGATGATGAGTTTATATTTGACACTAGAGGCTAGATTAGATAAAAGGAGCTTATTAAGTAGGGAAGTAACCCAAATAGACCAACCATTATGGAAAATTACTGTGACAACAAAATAGAAAGAGATCTGAGGCAGCAAGATTTGAGTTTAGGCGAAACTACTGTAATGGCACAGAGGGCTTCAGTTAGAGTGACTACTCTATCAGCTACTACACTGAAGGACTGTAGGTCTTGGAATACTCTATTCTGTAGAGTAAAACATCTGGGACTATGACCAAGAATAACTTGCCCAGAAAAATTAAGTATAATCCTAAATGAAACAATGGACGTTTAATGAACTCAAAGATTTTCAGGTATCTACAACAAAAATCACAGCACTTTGGGAAAATTCAACATATAAGATCCAGGAGAAATACAAACATTAAGGACCAATTATAAAGGACTCAATAATGTAAAATTGTCTACTTCTTATATGTGAGAATATAATCAGTACTTTTATGATCATCATCATTATTTGAGTAGTATGAAAGAAATGCGTGAGCTGAGCTGTGTGTGATGTGATGATTCCAAAAAAAATAAAACTGCATGGGGAGGGATAAAAAGGAATAATTATCTCACATAAATGAGGAAAAAAAAGAAATAAAAAATAAAATAAAGAACCGATACAGTAGAAGCTTATAGAAGGGCCAGGATATTCTCAACAGGACTGGGATAGATGGGAGCTAGGTGGCACACTGGCCCTGAAGTCAGGAGGACCTGAGTTCAAATTCGACCTCAGACCAAACACTTGACGCTTACTAGCTGTGTGACTCTGGTCAAGTCATTTCACCCCAATTGCCAAAAAAAAAAAAAGGAATGGGATAAAGAGAGAAATACATATACATGCATATATAAGTTGAAGACAGTAAGGAAAAATAGTAAGCAGGAAATTATACAAGTAATTATAGCTTACAATCTGAATGGGATGAATTTACCCATAAAACTGACACAGAGCAGATAATTCAACAATATGGTGCTTTCAGCAAACAACATAAAAATTAGATACACATGAAGATAAAGGTGAGGAGTAGATTTATCATGTAAAAAAAGCAGGGATAGTCATTGTGATCCCAGACAAGTTAAAGCTAAAATAGATTTAATCAAAAAACGAGGAAAATACATTGTGTGTCAGCAATATTATTTAATTTTTTTAAGCCATTTAAAATAACTAGACAATACAAAATACTTGAGTTCACCTGCCAAAAAAGATACTGGAAGTATATGAACATAAACACAAAATATTTTATGTACAAAAAAAGTCAGATCTAAGTAACTGAAGAAAACATTTTTTGTTCATGGGTAAGCAAAACCAATATAAGAAAAAAATGACAATTTCATCTAGCTGATCTATCTAATCGACGTCATCCCAATGAAATGACTAAAAAATTCATGTGGAAGAAGAAAAGGTCAGGGACTTCCAAGAAACTAGGGCAAAAAAAGATGTCAAGGAAGCAGATTCAGCAGTCTCAGACCTTAAGCTATGTTGTAAGGGGAGAGCAATGTTGAAGTATAAAATGGGGAAGTTTGATTAATTTTTGTACCAATAGAACCTATGCAGCCAAGAACAGAAGGAATGCAGAAAACTGGGCGGGGGGACATTCATAGGTAGTCTCCTGGAAAGAATGTGATTGGGTTGGAATCTCGATGGGGTGTGAGAAATGAGGAGCTGACTGCTTTAGAAAAACATGGGACCATCCCACACCAAATCACATAGACAATCCTGCACTAGGGCTTCTGAGATAGCCAGGCTTTAGGAAAAAGATTTGTGGGATCTGATATTAAGAGTAATCTAATTCAACATGTAGAGATAATATTCTCATCTATAGCCTGATCTGAGAGGCTTCCCTGGCCACCGCTCTAGAAACCCTCAACCTCCTCAGTACTCAGGGCTAAAAAGTCTCCTCTGTTAAAGCCCAAATTGCCACTTAATCTGTAAAATATCTAGGGCATGAACTGACTCCCACTTCCCACTTTAACCCCAGGAAGGAAACAAGCTTTTTGTCCATTTCTATTCCATCCACTAAAAAACAGTTGTGCACCTTTTTTAGGTATGGCAAGGTTTTGTAGAATCTGTATCCCCAGTTTTGGTATTATTGCAAAGCCCCTGTATGAACTCCATTCAAGGCCCTCACTTGTTCCCTTTAGAACAGGCCAAGCCTTTCAAGACCCTGAAGGCCAAACTGACCATCACCTGAGCCTTAACCCTGCCCAACTTGGAAAAACCCTTCTTCACCTTGTATATTGATGAGAGGCAGGAAAATGCCATGGGAGTTTTAACCCAGGCGCCTGGATCTGACACTAGTCTAGTAGCTACTTTTCTAAAGAACTTGGTTGTGTTAACTCTGGATGGCTCTCTACCTACAGGCAGTGGCTGCCATAGCCATTTTGATTGTGGAGGCCTCCAAACTTACTCTTTCGAAATCCTAACCCCTCACTGGGTTCAGAGTATCTTGGAAGCTTAAAGGCCATCAGTGGCTGGCTCACCAATAGACCTGACTCTCTAGATATGCCACACTCTCGATCCAGCTACCCTGCTTGCCAATACTATTGGGTGATACCATTCGTCACTGATTGAGGAGACCCTAGATTCTGTCTACTACAGCCACCCCCAACTTGAAGGACTTTCTTCTTGAAAACCTTGATGGGGAATGGTTCATAGATGGGTCTATTTTCATTGAGGACAGGAAGAGAAGAACAGGCTACTCAGTAGTCAGCCTTATTAGCATCTCCCCCTGGGACCTTGGCTCAGAGAGCTAAACTTGTCACCATCATAAGGGCTTTAGAATTGGGAAAGGGCCTGAGAGTTAACATCTAGACTGATTTCAAATATGATTTTCATGTCTTACATGCTCATGAGGCTATAAGAAAAGGAGGATTCTTGACAGCCAAATACTCCCCCATCAAACATGCTAAGGAAATTTTACAGTTACTGCAAGCTGTTCATGAATTAAGAGAGGTATCGGTTGTATTTTGTAAAGGACATTTTCAAAAGGGGGACTGAATTCAGGCCAGAAATAACCAACTTACATTCTCTGCCACTTGAGCAGCTGTAAGCTTACCCCTGACCATGGCACCATTACTCTGTCAGCTCCCTGATTCCTATAACCTCCAGAGAAAGGGGATATACTCTCTCCTCATCCAGGTGGTTTCAGACATCCTTGGGCCAATTCCTCAGCCTAGAGGATAACCAACGTAAGCTGGGAAAGAACACCCTCTAGTCTCTAGTGAAACCTATTTTCACTGTTCACAAGATATCATCCAGAAAGTTTGCCAATCCTATGCTATCTGTGTCTAGGTGAACCCTGAAGGGGTCATTAAACGTCCCCCACATCCCTTTTAAAACCTGTGTACTGAAGGGGCGTGTATCTAGGAGAAGACTGGCAAATAGATTTCACTCAGATGCCCCTTTGTAGAGGTTTTAAGTTCTTTCTGGTATTTGTGGACACCTTTATTAACTGGGTTAGGAGTTAGGCCCCAGCAAGATGAGGTAATAGGGAAAAGTTCATCCATCATAGCTGGAGTGATCCAGAGTCAGAGTCTAAGTTAACAATGGGTAGAAGAAAAGAATGAGTATTGAGAGCAGATATCATGGTCAGAAGATGAGTAAGAAGTGGTATGGAGGCCTCTGCTCCAAAAAGAAAGGCAAAACTTCACCTTTCATCTCCACAAGAAAAAAATTAGCAGTTTAAAATTCAAAATAAAACATAAACAACCATTTGAAAAACTATTCATAAATCACTAATTTGCAGATAGAGTTTATAAACTAAGGGCCTACATAACAAAGAGTTTACTCATGAAAAATAATGATGCATATGTTATTTGTTTGCATATGAATGTACCACTCTGATTTTGAACAAGCCATGTTACTTTTATGTACTTCTGTTTCCTCATCTATAATATCAGGGATTTGGATAAGTTCTAAAATCCCTCCAGCTATGAATCTATTTTTCTATGACTTCCTAATTTCATAACAATAATTAATTTTATGAATGTAAAACCAAAATTTATACCCATAACTAGTAGAATTAACTTACAAATAAGTATAGAAATATGCTATGACTTACTTTCACTGAAGCTTTCCATAACAGGATTACTTGAAATTTCATCTGACTGAAATTTATTTATAGATTCATCCACAAATTGTCCATCACCAGGGTCAATATGTTCAACAACTTCAAGTTTCCTAAAGAAAACATAAAACCTATGTTTATACTTAAGCCAAATGAAGAAACAAGGTGACCCTAGTGAACCGCAAGGTTTCAGAAAACTGGCTTACTTGGTGAGATTATTAATAAAGTTGATATGACAATACTCCAATCAATGTGATTTCACAGTTTCATACATTGCGAAGGCGAATCACCTCATATTGTGAATTTTGACAAAGATACAAAAGGAGATAGAGTGGGAGATAACAGAAATAGCAGTTAGGTGGACAACCTTCCATGCATGTGCAGCCTTGGTATGTTTGTACTCTTTAAAAACATCCTCTTTTAGTCAGAAACACCAACTAACCTTTTTGAGGATGATGCCTTCAAGGGTTCCATTTCTTCAGAATAATCACTGCCTTGAAAAGACTAACCAAATACAAATGTCAGTGAATCCAAAAAGTTAAGTGTTTATTTTCCAGTTCTGTCCAATTCTGTGACTGAGGGAACAGCCATTTCCAGCATTAAAGCCTAAACTAGCCTAGAGTCAAGATCTCCTCAAATCTATCCACACACAGGTTGTGGAACTTAGACACTTGACCAGGAGGGACAACAGGAACTGGACCACAATTCCCCCCAGAA